AAGACACAGGTGACCCCCCTTCCCATATAAGGGATCATACTATCCCCAAAGAGTCTAAAGCGCACTCCTTCAGCTGCTAAGTTGCAGACCATCAGAGCATCCCGAATGTGCATGCGAAGCTTTGAGTCAATCTGCTCAAAACCGCCCATCTCTTGTATAACGAGGGACCGGATCGTGTCGCGGTCCTTGGCCCTTGTTGCTTTAGCATCCGCCAGGGACAGAACCTCGGTTCTGGTTTTAAGGGGTTTAGGGTTTAGGGTTTCGGGGATTTATTTCAAGTTATCAGAACAAAGAAAGCATATTAATTACTATAGATCCCTATTCTGGTCCTAAACCCTAAACCCTGATCCCTTAACTGGTTCTGGTTTTAAGGGATTTGTTTCAAGTTATCAGAATATCAAGGGACTGAAGGAGAGACCCTTAAAGGGAATTTTGGGGTTATATAGGGTCTTTATGAGACTATATAAGGGGTATGTAAAGGCTTTGTAGGGTATTAGGATTAGGAGTCCCTTCTAGGGGTCCCTCCTATTCTCCCGTGATTCAAGCTATCAGAGTAAGGAAACCATATTGATTACTATAGATCTCTATTCTGGTCCTTAACCCTTAGCCCGAAACCCTGATCCCTGAACTGGCCCGTAATCCTAAACCCTAAACCCTAAGCCCTTAACTGGACCTTAGCCCTAAACCCTAAACCCTAAGCCCTAAGCCCTGTAGTCCCATAACCAAGAACCCAGGAACAGCAAGCTGTCTTCCAATGTTGATGGCGACTTCCGTCATAGCCTGGCCGAGGTTCACGACGCCCGTGTTGGTGCAAAACTGAAGTCCCTGAAAATCCTTTCCTTGACTGGTTTAGGGTTGAGGGCTTCTGAAGCATTATCAACTGTCAGGCATCTGACTATAGTTCATACAATGTAGAGGCCTTATGAATTAGAATAGGGTTTTGGTGTAGATTATACTCTATGTATAATAAGGAGCCCCCCCCCCCAAAAAAAAAAAAGTATTGGTAATCATTTAGGCCCCCCAGATAATTAAAACACACAAAAAGCATTGAAGTCCTAACAGCCAACCAGAAGTGCGCCAGGTTTCTTTCCTTCTCCAGGTTCATGGTTTGGAGGAGTTCGAAGAGGCACCAAGATCTGGTCAGCGGCAAAGCCGTCTCATCCTTGGTTCATAAGCAGCCTCTTTATAATAAGGGTACCCTTTTTCCTACTATTCGGTTTAGGGTTTAGGGTTTAGGGTTTTAATAAGGGGGCCCTAAAATAGAAAGGGCAAAAGGGTACCACTCAGGGACCTAGCATCTAAAACCATGCAAGTGCCATGCACACAGCTGCTGTGCAAAGCGAGGTAGAAAGATGACTCCTTGTGGGTTGCCCCCAGCTCCTCTTCAATCCGATATTGGTTGTTGCTAAAGGCACAGATCCAATAAGACACCGATTGCCATGTAGTCCCTGACTGTCTCGCAGCATTCTCGGCATGTCTTCTGAGAGCATCGCAGGTGTACGCAAAGCTTGTACCCCAATAGTGGCTTACGAACCATTGCACCCTGGAGGGGCCAAGGAGCTCGGCAAGAGACAGCTGACACTCACGTGTCAGAGGATGGATGATATTGGAATCGATGTAGTACAGATTCCGATCACGAATGTACTGCTTGAACTCGCCTGGGGTATGGTTCGGAACAAGCACTCATCACGGCGTCTTTTTTTACATTGAGTGTTAAAGGGGCCGACAAACACCTTTTAAACTAAGTAGCTTGCGCGCAACCCTAAACCCTAATTCCGAAACCGTAATTCCTAACCCCGAAACCATAAAGCCAGAAAGCCCACACCCTAACCCCAAGGCTCAAACTAGCCCGTGGGGTCCAAAAACCTATCAACTAACACATGAGTCCTTCGATCCTTAGGGTAATGCCCTAAACCCCTAATTAACCCTAAACCCTAAACCCTAAACCCTTAAACCCTAAACCCTAAACCGTGCCTAAACCCCCAACCCTAGACCCCGAAACCCGGCATTCTTGGTCCGAAATCCTCAAAACCTGAACCCTGTAATTCCTAAAACCTAATCTCCTATAGTCTCCATTGTAGTTCCTTTTTGGGGCTACCTTTTAGGATCCTTAGTATGAGATTGGTTAAACCAAAAAAAGGAACTACAATGGAGACTATAGGTAATCTCCTATAAAACCCTAATTCCTAAATCCGCAGTCCTTGTTTAGGGTTTAGGGTTTAGGCTTGACCCGAAATCCTTTCCCATAGGCCCCTAAGTAGTTCCTTTTTGGGATTACCTGAGAGGATTCTAAATGTAAGCCACAAAAAGGAGCTACTTAGGGGCCAAGTTATCAGAATAAAGAAACCATAGTAGTTACTATAGATCTCTATTCTGGCCCTTAGCCCTAAACCCTAAACCCTAATCCCTTAACTGGTTGGTCCTTAACCCTAAACCCTAATCCCTTAACTGGTTGGTCCTTAACCCTAAACCCTAAACCCTAAAACCCGACACACCCTAAGCCCTAGTCCCGGAATCCTTTAAAGCCAGGGCACTCCATAACATCCTTAAAGCTACCTTATAGGACTCTAAATATAAACCAATAAACAAAAAAGGAACTACTGAGGGGACTATGGGTTATTTCAAGCTATCAGAACAAATAAACCATTAAGTTAATTCTGGTCCTTAACCCTAAAACCCTAAACCCCAAACCCTAAGCCCTAAACCCTAAACCCTAATCCCTTATCCCTTAACATCCTTAAAGCCAGGCCACTCATGAGCTCGAAGATCTGCCAGGCGGTTAGCGCACGGTCCGGACCTCTCTCGCCTGGAGATGTTTGGGGTTTAGGGGTTTAGGGGTTTAGGGTTTTGGGGTTTTGGGGTTTAGGGTGTAGGGTTTAGGGTTTTTGGGGTTTAGGGTGTTTTTTTGGTTTGGGGGTTTAGGGGTTTCGGGATTAGGGGTTTAGGGTTTAGGGCCGTTTAGGGTTTAGGGTTTGGGGTTTTCCCCAAAAAAAAGCCCTAAACCAAGAGGCTTTTATGCAGGGCCTTAAGGGGTGTAGGTGGTAGAGGGTTTAGGATTTTTGGAGGTTGTAAGAAGGTCTTATTTCGATCTTTTATCGAAGGTTTGTCCAAATCTGCGACCTAGTCGCAGGATGTTGGTACGTACTGCCTTTCGGAAAGCTTCGCCTGGAATGCCGCGATGGAGTGGTGGATGGGCGACCAAATCTGAAGAAAGTACCTGCTGGGTTTAGGGTGTATAGGGTTTAGGGTTGTAACAGTTGTGGTTAGAGTTGAGGCTCAGCAGACAAGGCGCTTAACTGAACCATCAGAGCGCAAAGCCGTCAACGACACTAGTTTATTTATACTGCTTAGGCTGGAATCAGTTTGCATTTCTGTTGCTGACGCTTCCGATTTTTTCGGGATTCCGGTGACGGTACACGAAACCACCAGACAATCAGAAACCTGGATCACAATAACCACAGCAAGTTTGAAAAGGTCTTGACTGCTGCCGTACTTTTGCTAGTGCTTCCCACATTACCCAGAAAACAATAAACGCGAGGCTAGACTTGCTGACATTACAAGATCCCGAAAGGTTCAACACTGGGCCGGGCAGATATGGACGAAAGCCCTGAAAAATCTACTGCAGAAGCATCTAATAACCCTAAACCCAGGGTTTAGGGTTTAGGGTTTTAGGGTTTAGCCTAACCCCTGAAACCTAAACCCCCCTAAACAACCAAACACCCAATCCCAATCGAGGCCTCACAGCTGAAGTACCCTTAAGCACAATAAGAAAAAGGGGAGCCCCCACACCCCAAACCTTAAAACCCCGACTCCCCCCCCTCATAGACCCTTCATAGAAAACGCCTAAGCCCCAATAAGTCAAAGAGGAGTCGCTTGAGGACTCGGGATATCAGGAAACCAAGGAGGCAGCCCAAAAGCATCGTGGCGACGCCCCCTTCGAGGCTGTATGGAACCTCGGGGCGATCTATAGGGCTTATAGGGGTTGAGGGTTTTTCTAGGGCTTATAGGGTTTATAGGGTTCTTTTAGGGCTTATAGGGGTCATAACGGCTTATAGGGTTTACAGGGTTTATGTTGTTTATAGGGTTTATGGGCTTTATAGGGTTTAGGGATTATAGGGCTTATAGAAGCTTAGGGTTTAGGGTTTAAGGGTTTATTGGATTCATTGGGTTTAGGGTTTGGGGTTCTGTGTTTCAACGTTTGGGGTTTAGGGTTTAGGGGGTTGGGTTGGCTTCAGATTGAAAGTTTGTAGGTTTAGCTTCGGGCTTTAAAGCTTTCGGGCTCTAGGGGGTAGGTGCTAGGGTTTCGGCTCCAGTTGAGGGCGTAGGTTTGTTGATTAAACCCTAAACCCTTAACCCGAAACCCTAAATCCTAAACCCTAAACCCTTAACCCTTAACCCTAAATCCTAAACCCTAATTAAACCCTAAACCCTTAACCCTAGAAGCGAAATCCTAAACCCTGATTAAACCCTTAACCCTTTACCCTAAACCCTAAATCCTAAACCCTAAACCCTAAACCCTTCCTAAACCCTAAACCCTTAAAGGAGACCTCAAGGGCTGTGGGTGACACATCAAAAAATTGATAAGCATCAAAAAGTCATTTACCACGGTAGCCATCAACAAAAACTTGCTAAGCATCTAAAACATATTTGATAAGAGGGTTTAGGCTTTAGACGGTAGCCATCAAAAACAAATGAGAGGCATCAAGAAAAATGCATGGAGGGTTTAGGATTTTTCAAGGAGTTTATCAATTTTTTTAAGATGCTTATCATTTTTTAGATGCTTATCATGTTTTTTGCTGCCTATGCCTTAAGGGCTGGGGGCTCTTGGGGCTTAGGGGCTGCAAGGACATAGACTTCCTTTCCGAAGGAGCAGTTGTGGAACAGTTTGGGGTTTAGGGGTTAGGATTTATAGAAATTGTATAGGGTT